TCAATTTTTTGAACCATACGTCCAGTGTAAACATTGTAATTGGATCCATGTATTTCTTGATCTTCTCATATCTATTTTCATCTCCAATAACACTCTGAATTGGGTATCCTCCAAACTCTTTCTCCATGTCTCTATGTAATCCGGCGAGCACCAGCGTACAACATGTCTGAGCTGTGCTGCCCAGAAGTACTCTGTCAATCTTGGTAGACCCATACCCCCCCTGTCTTTCGGTAGCTGGAGAGTTTCATATTTAACTCTAGGTTTTTTGACCCCCCAGATGTATCTTGATATTATCTTGTCCCAGATATCAAACTGAGTTTGACAATCCTCTATCAGTAATGCCTGGAACAAATATAAAAGTTTTGCTTGCACATTAATTTTAATTGTTTCAATTCTTGAGTTCTAATCCAAGGGCAAATTATTCCATCTATCTATATCTTTTTGTATTTCTTGGGTTATTTTATTGTAATTTGCTTTGAACAGTGTAGATATCTCTTTAGTAATGTTGATTCCTAAATATTTAATTTCCTTCATATTCCATTTAATGGGAAATGCTTCCTGAATTTCTTCTGATGGATTGTAATTGAGTGTTAGAATCTGTGTTTTGCTTACATTAATTTTATATCCCGAAAGGTACTCATACTTTCCAAAGAGATTCATCAAAACTGGTAGTGATTCGTTTGGCTGTCCAAGGAAGGTTATTACATCGTCTGCAAAAAGCCCTATTTTGTGTTCCTCTCCGTTTACTATAACTCCCTTGATTTTTTCATCTTGTCGTACTGCCTGTGCCAAAGGCTCTACAAAAAGTATGAACAGAGTAGGTGATAGACAGCACCCTTGCCATCGTTGATCTTTGTATGTTAAATTTATCAGTTAGGCTTCCGTTTATTTTGATTCTTGCTATATGTTGATGGTACAATGCTTTTATACTCTATCGATTTCTTGCTGAATCCAAATCGTTCTAACGCTTTATATAGAAACGTCCAATTTACCAGATCAAATGCTTTTTCTGCGTCGACACTTAATAATATGGTGCTTTGTTTATCTGCTACGCTTGATCCACTATATGCAGCACTCTTCTAATATTATCGTGAGTTTGACATCCTCTCATAAATCCAGTTGGATCATCTTCTATCAATTCTGCTACGAATTTGTTTAATCTAGTAGAGATAATGGATGTGTAAATCTTATAATCTACATTTAATAATGAGATTGGTCTATAACTACTACACTGTTCTTTATCTTTTCCTTGTTTTGGGATGACCGAAATGATGGTTTCACTGAATGATGGAGGCATTTTGTTGTTATTGAGTGTCCAATTGACAGACGCTGTAACTCTTATCTAAATTATACTTGTCCTTCATCAACTCTTCTTTAAAAATCTTGTACCACTCTGCCGGGTTTCCCTCACTGCCCGGTGTTTTATTATTTTTTAGTGAATTTATTGCCTCTTTCACTTCCTCTTGTGATTGTTGCTGTCAGCATCTCATTTTGTAGTTTGCCAATTGTTGGTAGATCTAATGTGTTTAAAAAGGTTCTCATTTCCTCCTTATGTGCACATTCAGGTTGTGTATACAGTTTATCATAATATTCTCAGAAAATGTCTTCTATTTCCTCTGGATTATTAGTTAGTTCACCTGTGTAGAGATTTCTGATTTTATTTATTGCATTAAGTGTTTGCTGTTTGCAAATACGTCTAGCTAACAGTTTAGCTTCTCTTGAAGCTAAACTTCGTAATAGTTCTGTTTCAGGAATATGTTCCTTTTTTCAATTTCCCCTAAAAATATGTCATTTATTTCGGCTTTAACTGTCTTGATTTCTTGGTATGCCTTTGGATCTTTTCTTTTCTGATATTCCTGCTCTAGTTCTCTGAGTCTCTCATTGTTTGCCCTGTATTCCTGTAATTTGGTTCTTTTATCATGGACAGTTTTAGCTATTAACTTTCCTCTAATGAGTGCTTTCATGGCATCCCACAGTATTGTTGGATCTACTGTTCCATTATTATTTTCTTCAATATATTGTTTTATCTCTGCTTTTATCTTTTCTCTCTGTTGTTCACTATTCAATATTCCCACGTTTAGTCTCCATACAGCTTTCACGCCTCCTCATAGTCACGCAACACGCTGGTTTCATATTTTATTTTTCTTTTAGTATTATTTTTCCGGTTACACGATGCATCAAACCATATCAAAAGCTTTGTCTACTTAGTCAGCCAGAGTTAATGCACGCTGAGATCTGAGAAAGTCATCCCTATCTTGAGCAACCACAACAGTTTCTGTAATTATTATTAAAAACTCAACAGAGCTACTATAGCCACATTATCACCACTGAATTAAATCTCTGGGCGCAGTGCAGCCACTCTGCAGGGCCGGTCCAAGGCTGTATGAGGCCTTGAGCAGAATTTGACGTAGGGACCCTCTTGTTGCTAAAAACATCAGCAGCTCTAACATCTTCTGTGTTTTAGTGAAATCTAGGACAGGGGATCTAGTTTAATTGGCCAACCTAAAAAGCTGTTTGTTATAATTGCAGTTTATTCATTTGTATTTGTGTACAAACAGAGCTCAAACTCAAAGATTACACTGATAGCATCAAATTGTAGCTATGGTAACAAAACTGTTTAATTATGAATATTTTTCTTTGAACTTTAACAAAGTAAATTTGCCAGCTCCCTTAAATTTTACATATGAATGTTAAACAATTTAAAGTATTTAATTTATATCTGCTGAAACCATTGAATCAAATTTAACACAATTGATCTTCTCAATAAACAAATGTTACATTTAAGTATGTGTGGTCTGTGTTGAAATATTAGCATTTATAGGCCCCTGAAGCTCTGAGGGCCTTCAGGGGCTGCTGACATAATTTGGTTTAACAGAAGTCCAAATAATTGATATTCATTTTAATTGCATTTTTTGATGTGTTGTTTTTAAGTCTAGTTGTGGGTTTAAATATTGTTTTACTGATGCTGTCAGTGAAACATATAATTACCCAGTAATATTTTTACTTTTCCTGTCAACTCAACATCTTTTATTGCAAAAACATGGTGGACCACTGGTAGACTGAATTGGTGCCTTAGCATGTTTTTTGGGGGAAACCCTGTTGTCGGCCATATTCAATTTAGCAAAATTAATTTCTTGCATTTACAGCTGATGTCCAGTAGTTGATACTGTATTTTATGATGCATTAGTGTCCACTTCAGTGGTCTGTGTGCATTTATAACATAAAAAGCACAAGAAAATGGCTTTTAGATAGTTATCCACTATAGTGACCACTATGCATGAAAGGATTAAGTTCTACTTTTAGTTAGTATTAAGACAACAGGTAGTATTTAGCACATTTTAAGGACTACTGAATGTAGTATAATGAAAAAAGAGGAACAGAAAACCTGAGCAGCATAAATGACTCTATCAGTAAATACCTTATTAAAACTAATGTTTATACCACAGGCTCAGTGGTCTGTTTGCACCAAGCAGTTTAAAAGTTTAAACCTGACAAGACACAATGGAGCACAATAAAATTAACAATCAAAAACAAATTTTAAATTATTGTAAATTACTTTAATAATTTGTCTGTCCAAATGCAAATTCTTATTTTAGGCATTCTTAATAATAAGTGATATATCCGTAAGTCTGTGACATAATTACAGAGATTGGCCAGGTACTTGACGGGTCAATAAACTAAAGTTGTTGTTTGACTGACAGTGGGAAACTCTTGGGATGGGACGACTCCTAATGGACAATCAACCCGCTATTTAATCTGTGGCCTGTTTTACTGAATGTACATAAATCCATTGCTAGACTTTTGTGTACTTGGAAAAGGCATTTGACCTTCTGGGAGTATGGGGTAGGTTACCGGGCCCTTTGATATGGGCTGTTAGGTCTCTGTTTGACTGGTGTCTGAGTCTGGTCCTCATTTCCGACAGTAAGTCGGTCTTGTTTCCGATGAGAGTAGGACTCAAGCAAGACTGCCCTTTGTCACTGATTCATTAGTTTCATAGACAGAATTTCTAGGTGCAGCCAAGGTGCTGAGGGGATCTGTTTTGGTGGCTTTGGGATCACATCTCTGCTTTTTGCTGATGATGTGGTCCTATTGTCTTCATCAGGTCCTGATCTACTGCTTTCTCTGGAGTGGTTCGCAGCCAGTGTGAAATGGCTGGGATGAGAATCAGTGCCTTCAAATCTGAGGCCATGGTCTTGAGCCAGAAAAGGGTAGAGTATCTTCTCCAGGTCAGGGGAGGTAGTCGGTGGAGGAGTTTAAGTATCTCAGGATCTTGTTCATGAATGAGGGAAAAATGGAGCGGGAGCTCAACAGAGGATTGGTGCAGTATCTGCAGTGAAGCGGGCGCTGTACCGGTCTGTTGAGGTGAAGACAGAGCTCAGTCAAGAAGCAAAGGTCTTGATTTAACCGTCGACCTATGTTCATACCGTCATCTATGGTGAGGAGCTTTGGGTCATGACCATGGGAAGGCCTTGGGATTCCCCCAGAGGAGCTGGCCCAAGTGGCTGGGGAGAAGGAAGTCTGGGTCTCCCTTCTTAGGGTGCTACTCCCACAACCCAACCCCAAGCAGAAAATGGTTGGATGATGAATGGCTGATTAAGAAACATACATACTAAACTTAATTTTACATTTATATGTTGTTCAAACTTCATACTACAGAGGAAACTCACCACATGTTGTTTGATCATTTTTTATTGAGAATTGTAATAGTTAAATTTGACTAAATGTATTGAATTTGCCCAGAAGAGGTGTGAAATTTAAACAATAAATTGGTATCAGTTGAAATAGAATATCCTTTCATCATTTTATAATCAAGGGATTGTTAGGCCAAGGAGCTCCTTAAGAGGAGTCACATCAGGTCATTGTGTGTCCAAAGAGATTGTTTAGATTCTCTCATATATTTTTGTAGTATTTGTCCTAGCATCGACCTGGGACAACATTTGAAGCAAAACGGTTTCAAGTTTCTTGTGTACTTTACTGACAAATGCCTTATTCCCTTTCAGGTGGATTTAGCTACAGGTTTGGCAATTGAAGAGGCGTGCTATGCTCAGGTGAGTGTTGGATAAATGGGTTTAAACAGCCAATTTAGATTTTTCTTCAATTGAGTTTCTGTAGTTCTCAGAAGACACAACAGTTATGTATCTTCATAACTTTTGTATGAAGATATGATGTTATTGTGAGCTTTCTAGAAAACTAAACCGGACTTTGTCTGGAAAACTTTCTAAACCTGGGGTAGGTTGATTTAGAGCCTTCTACTCAGAGCTTTTTAACTTTGCTTTCTGAAACAAGGCCCTGCAGAGCACAGAAACAGACTGCATTGCCAAAAGTATTTGGTCACCCATCCAAATTATTGCTATTCCAATCACTTCCATGGCGACAGGTATACAAAATTAAGCAGACTGTTTTTACAAACATTTATGAAAGAAGGGGTCACTTTTAGGAGCTCGGTGAATTCCAGTGTGGAACTGTGATAGGATGCCATGTGTGTAATAAATCCAGTTGTGAAATTTCCTCGCTCCTAAATATTCCACAGTCAACTGTATTATAAGAAACTGGAAGTGTTTGGAAGGACAGCAACTCAGCCATGAAGTGATAGGCCACATAAAGTGGCAGACGGGGTCAGTGGATGCTGAAGCACATGGTGTGAAGAGGTCAATCACTGCAGACCTCCAAACTTCATGTGGCCTTCAGATTAGCTCAAGAACAGACAGCTTCATGGAATGGGTTTCCATGGTAACCAACTGCATCCAAGCCATACATCACCGAATGCAATGCAAGGCGTCAGATGCTGTGGTGTAAAACTGATGCCACTGGACTCTAGAGAAGCAGAGGCACGTTTTTTTTATAGTAATATGTGATCTTTCCTATATAAATTGGGGAAGATCGTGACACAGAAGCATGACAAATTGACCTTCTCCGTATGGCGAGGTGATGGACGAGTTTAGCGGTTGCCAGGACAATGGTACTTGTCTGACTGGACTGCATGGATGGCAGAGTCTGGTGTGGATAAACTTGACTGGCCTGCATACAGTACTGACTTCCACCGTAAATAACACCTTTAGGATGAATTAGAGCAGAGACTGAAAGCCAGGTCTTCTTATCCAACATCAGTATGTGACTTGACAAATGTGCCACTGGAAGAATGGTCAAAAATCCCCATAAACACTCCTAAATGCTGAACCTTGTGGGGTTAGGGTTAGGAGATTTAAAGTTTCCCAGAAGATTTAAAGCTGTTATATCTGCAAAGGGAGGAGAGACATCAAATTTAAACCTGTGGGGGAGAAACTCATATTTGAGTAGAGACAGGTGAGCGAATACTTTTGGCAACATAGTGTATCATCTTCAATTATACTTTAGAATTGGCACAAAATTCAAAAGTTTATTCTATTCTTAGCAGAATGGAGTTAACTTCAAATGGATCTGGTGGATTGATACAATCAGTGCGCTCAATCAATACAACTTCACGTGATCATTGTTTGACTAAATAAAACAGCACCAAGCACAACATTGTCTTGTAATATAATATATGTCAGCATATATTAACATCTTAGCATTTTCATTTCGGGTTGCTTAACATGAGTGAAGTCTGCATACATATGACTAGCTATTAGCTTTCACCCTTTTTGGTTTCTTAGGCCTTGTCCATACAAAGGTCAAAACAAATACAGGGATTTTAAGCTATACAACTGACCATATACAAAAAATTTAGACTGTAAAACCAGATATGAGACAAACCTCAAAAGTCCAAATTGCTTCTTGTACTCATGATTTTCTAGGTGATCCCAACAAAAGACCGATTGGAAGGTTTGGCTGCTTTTAAGGAGAAGAGGCGTCCTCAATACAAGGGGGAGTGAGGTTATACGATTCATTTCAAGAAATTCTGTTCCAAAAATGAATGAATTCCCACACCTGTGAACAACCAAGCTATTTTAATGCAAAGCCTTTGACTTGAAAGAGTGTGGTAATTACAGTAAAGACTTTTTTTTATCTTAACACATGCCATTGTACTTTCAAGTAAAGGTGAATGCAGTGAAACAGAAAATTTCACACATTACTCTGCATTGTGTCTGGAGGACTTTGTTGCATGATAGAACACATGGTTAGAACTGATGGAAGTTTTCTTTAAGTGCAAACCAATCTCTGGCTGTGTGCCCACTACCTGCTCATAAATTCATGTTCCTGTCTTTGAAAAATTTCTAAAACTGGGAATGTATGGCTTTGTGTAGCTTTTTTTCAAATGCAATTTCTTCTTTTAAAATTTTACAACCATTGTTGATTAACCAAGTCTAGTTTATTTAAAGTGTCAATACATTTTCTTGGAAACATTTAGTACGTTTTTTTCAAAAAAAATAGAATTTGATATTTGCTTTGTTTCAACAATAGTCCTCAACTGTGTTTTAGACAGTTGAGGACTCTTGGCATGCAGAAATGGTAAATACAAATGGACACATCTCTGATGTGTCCATTTATATTTCAAACTTAGTAGATGGTTTGTTTGATAAGCTGCCATCTGGAGTCCACAGTTTTGTACATTTTAGGTTAGATTTCAATTGGCAAAGACCATATTATTTATGTATTGGAAGATACATAAATGTGTTTTACATTACTGTGCTTATGTTGTTTTTAAAGCTCACAAGGTTTCATAGTTTTCTTTATGTATGACCCATATATGTATGTACATGTTGGGTGTTTCAAGCAAAGCTGTTGCTTCAGTTTGCTGGAAATTATTTGAATATAATTAAATTGTCTTTCCTATTTAGTGCCAAATATATAATGCCATAAAATAACCACATTTTCAAAATTGTGTTTTGTAAACACCTAATATGATGGCTAAGGTTGTGGGTGATTGTCATGAAACAACCCATAGAATTTAGAAGTTCTGTTTTCTTTTCTTTTATTCCTTGGTATTGTTTGTTCTGTTGTTTTAGTTTCAAACTACTTTTGCTAAACTTTTGAATGCATGAGTCACATGCCAAGTGAAGACTGGCCATGTCAAACAGCTGTAATAAAGTCTAAAAGAAATGCCTGATCCTTTTTCATTCTTTTGTTACAAAGAAACAATTTGTCTCTTTATGGTAAGATTAATGTGTAGTTTATATCTAAGATTTTTCACTGAAATATTAAAATCTTCATAGTCTAAGACACTGTTTGATAACCATTACTGGAGCATTTCCTTACCAAGATCCTAACATTGCTCATATCATTTTAACACTAACTGATCGAGGATGTCACAAGATTTTTGGGGCATCATAAAACACTACAAAATGCTGAAAACTGGTGGAAATTAGCTTTTTGTCTTTTCAAAATCATATTTCTATACTTCATTTGATTTGTATAGTCCCACATATTCATTATCACAAGAACATGTATACAGATATATTGTTGTTGAGTTTATTTTTATTTCAAACTGGTTTTGAAAAAACTTAATTATAACAAAATAATAACCACTACTTTTCTGTTTGAAAAGGAGTAGGAAAAAGTGAACACTTAATGTTACTTAGACCTACCCCTTATCTCAATTTTAAAAAATATATTACTTACCAACTTTATCAGAAATTTGTAATTAAAACCATGTTATGGTATTCATAGGAGTGTTTCATAAACTAATAAAGAACCAACAAATAAATTGTATTACAAAAACAAAATGACTATAAACTAACTCTCATAACAGAAAATGTTCAGAATCATAATAGTAGTACTAATGACAGTTGTAAATAACTGGACAGAATAATTACCAACTCTTTGTCAATATACACCCTGTATATTAATAAAGATAGTAAGAGAACAATAATAATGTACTCATAATGGTAATAGTAACTAAAAAAATGACAAAAGTCATTTCAAAAAAAGCAAATCAAATTTTATTTGTATAGCACATTTCAGCAACAAGGCATTTCAAAGTGCTTTACATCATAAATATAAAAACACAAAGTCATGCATCATGGAATAAACAATACATTGTTACATATTACATTTCAAATACAACTCTAAACAGGTGTGTTTTTAGTCAAGATTTAAAGGAAGTCAGTGTTTCTGCTGATTTACAGTTTTCTGGAAGTTTGTTCTAAATTTTTGGTGCATAGATGCTGAAAGCTGCTTCTCCTCTCTTGGTTCTGGTTCTGGGGATAAAAAAGCACCAGAACCAGAACCTGAGAGTCTGGAAGGTTGATACAACAACAGCAGATCTTTGATGTATTATGGTGCTAAACCGTTCAGTGATTTATAAACTAACAACAGTATTTCAAAATCTATTCTTTGAGCTACAGGGAGCCAGTGGAGGGACTTTAAAACTGCTGTTATGTCTCTATCTTCCTGGTTTTAGTGAGAACAGGAGCAGCAGCTTCTGGATCAGCTGCAGCTGGAGGATTGATTTGTTGGACAGGCCTGTGAAGACGCTGTTACAATAATCAATGTGACTAAAGATAAACGCATGATGAGTTTCTCTAGATCTGGCTGAGACATTAGTCCTCTAATCCTGGAGATGTTCTTCAGTGATAGAAGGCCGACTTTGTAACTTGTCTTTATGTGGCTCGCAAGGTTCAGGTCTGAGTCCATCACTACTCCCAGATGTCGGGCTGATCGCTAGTTTTTAGTGTAATAACTGAAGCTGTGATTGACTCTAGATCTATAGCTCTAGATCTATAGCTCTAGATTTATAGCTCTAGATCTATAGCTCTAGATTTATAGCTCTAGATCTATAGCTCTAGATTTATAGCTCTAGATCTATAGCTCTAGATCTGTAGCTCTAGATTTATAGCTCTAGATCTATAGTTCTAGATCTATAGCTCTAGATTTATAGCTCTAGTTCTATAGCTCTAGTTCTATAGCTCTAGATTTATAGCTCTAGTTCTATAGCTCTAGTTCTATAGCTCTAGATTTATAGCTCTAGTTCTATAGCTCTAGATCTATAGCTCTAGTTCTATAGCTCTAGTTCTATAGCTCTAGATTTATAGCTCTAGATTTATAGCTCTAGTTCTATAGCTCTAGATCTATAGCTCTAGATTTATAGCTCTAGTTCTATAGCTCTAGTTCTATAGCTCTAGTTCTATAGCTCTAGTTCTATAGCTCTAGATCTATAGCTCTAGATTTATAGCTCTAGTTCTATAGCTCTAGATTTATAGCTCTAGTTCTATAGCTCTAGTTCTATAGCTCTAGTTCTATAGCTCTAGTTCTATAGCTCTAGATCTATAGCTCTAGATTTATAGCTCTAGTTCTATAGCTCTAGTTCTATAGCTCTAGTTCTATAGCTCTAGTTCTATAGCTCTAGATCTATAGCTCTAGATTTTAGCTAGTTCTATAGCTCTAGATTTATAGCTCTAGATCTATAGCTCTAGATTTATAGCTCTAGTTCTATAGCTCTAGATCTATACCTCTAGATTTATAGCTCTAGTTCTATAGCTCTAGATCTATAGCTCTAGATTTATAGCTCTAGTTCTATAGCTCTAGATCTATAGCTCTAGATTTATAGCTCTAGTTCTATAGCTCTAGTTCTATAGCTCTAGATTTATAGCTCTAGTTCTATAGCTCTAGATTTCTAGCTCTAGTTCTATAGCTCTAGATCTGTAGCTCTAGATTTATAGCTCTAGTTCTATAGCTCTAGATCTATAGCTCTAGATTTATAGCTTTTGTTCTATAGCTCTAGTTCTATAGCTCTAGATTTATAGCTCTAGTTCTATAGCTCTAGATCTATAGCTCTAGATTTATAGCTCTAGTTCTATAGCTCTAGATTTATAGCTTTTGTTCTATAGCTCTAGTTCTATAGCTCTAGTTCTATAGCTCTAGATTTATAGCTCTAGTTCTATAGCTCTAGATCTATAGCTCTAGATTTATAGCTCTAGTTCTATAGCTCTAGATCTATAGCTCTAGATCTATAGCTCTAGATCTATAGCTCTAGATTTATAGCTTTTGTTCTATAGCTCTAGTTCTATAGCTCTAGTTCTATAGCTCTAGATTTATAGCTCTAGTTCTATAGCTCTAGATCTATAGCTCTAGATTTATAGCTCTAGTTCTATAGCTCTAGATCTATAGCTCTAGATCTATAGCTCTAGATCTATAGCTCTAGATTTATAGCTCTAGATCTATAGCTCTAGATTTATAGCTCTAGTTCTATAGCTCTAGATCTATAGCTCTAGATCTATAGCTCTAGATCTATAGCTCTAGATCTATAGCTCTAGATCGTTCCTCTTTAGGTCCAAAAATAATGACTTCAGTTTTGTTTCTGTTCAGCTGGAGAAAGTTTTGGCACATCCACACATTTATCTGTTCTAAACATTTATTCAGTGATTGGAAGGGGTCAAAGGTCAGCTGGTGACATCATAATGTAGAGCTGTGTGTCATCCGCATAGTTGTGGTAGTTAATATTATTTCCTGTTATGACCTGAGCTAGTGGGAGAATATAAATATTAAATAAGAGGGGTCCTAGGATTGAACCTTGGGGTACCCCACATGTGACCTTTGGCCTCTTTGATGAGAAGTTTCCAATTGAAAGGGTTAGGGAGCACTGGACCTCTCTGGTCCAGTTCTCAACTGGACCAATCTTAGTGGTTTCTGGGCAGCAATATGTATATTTGTCTTCACACTGCTTCTGATTTGTGAGTATATCCAGAATTGATTACTTTGTATTGACTAGTTAATTCTTCATAATTTAGATGGTCCATTATTATAGACCATTATTGTCCTATAGTAGTAATTTCCTTTCCATCCAAAATACTGGTATTTTCCCAATACAAATGGCAAGGTTTATAACCACAGCATGGTGTAGTAATTGGTTCATTTGATGTATTTTGAAAAAATCCTTAGAGTGCTTGAGTATTGGGTTGGTGGCGCTTTTCCCTTGGACTTAATGGTAATCACAGCTCACTTTCAATTCAATATCCATCCAATCTCGTTTTTTCCAGTATTTAGTCAGCTGAGTCATTTTAATCTACATAGCCTTAGGTGCGATGCACTTAGTCTTCCTCCTTCCTCAGAAAAGAATAGTTTACTCAGTTGGATTCTTGCCAGTTTATAAAATCGTCATCTTTAAAAATAGTGAGTATGACAATAATTAGTAACATCATAGATATATAGCAAAGTTTAGACTTTGATATATATTAGTAATATTAATATTTCCTCAACAAGCTTGTCTCCTTTTGCACTATTTGATGAGATTTAAGTAGTGTCAGACAGGTAGCAGGAGTGCAGCAGCCATATTGGGTCTGTCAGAAATGTTTTCATTGAAATTCTTTTACTACAAAATTCTAGAGTTTTACTATTTTGCACATATGATGTTTTTGGGGTGTACCTAGCTTTTCCCCATTTTCATTATGGCTTTATATTTGTTTCACAACAAAAAGAAAACTACCATGTTATTTCAGGCGTAGTAGGGTGTTTGGTTTTGTGAACTCAAGTATATCAAAATAGTGTTACCTAAACCAATTATTATCATTGCTTTTTGTATTCTGCTTTAGTTGAATATTAAAAGGCTGTTTAACAGTAAAGTCAGTTTTCCACATCTGAGGTCCTTAACCGCCCGTTGTGAATTGTCTAAAATGCAGACAGCTCTTGTGCATGTTAAGAGAGGAAGACAGTTTTGCGGTGACAAACTGTTCCAAGTTAACATATATAGATACTTTTTTTTAAGTGAAGGATGCGATGAAGGTTACACTTGATACATTTCCCATGAGAAACGACTGGGGTCCAGGCCTCCAGCAATGGGAAACCCGACAATCTTTACGCAACTTTTACTTGTGGTCGGATTCCCCCCGGCTTAGAAATGGGACATCTGCCGGAAAGAGGCCAGCCACAGTGGGGATAAAGATTCTGATGTTAAGCTTTCTGCAACAGCAACATGAAGCCACAGTGCAGACATGTGAACAGCAGCTGGCCAAGACCTCAACTGCCTGTTTTCAGGCACATATGTGTACTTTCTGCTAATGTTGTCACAACACTTTAGTACTAAGTGCCTGATTTAAAATCAGCCAAAACCTAAAAAATAATTTCTGTCACACCTGTTATATGTACTCACAAAGATATAATGCTATTGAATGC